TGATGATTTATGAGGGCCTCTCAAATTTAAGGAACAATCCAATTATAGAAAGGAAAGAAAACTAAAAGGAAAACCCTCTGACCAAGAAACCTGCTTGTTTCCCGAGGAATGTTAAGAGCATGTAAAAATGTACTTGTGGCTGCTTTGAATAGTTCCTCTGTCAATACCAGATATGGAACAAGAAAGGAGAAAACTTTATATTTCTCGAATGCAGTGGTTGATACATCTAGCTCAATAGTTGAAGCCATTTTTTATAGCTCTTCAGCAAGGCAGCTCTGTTTTTTCCAGTATAATGGAAGCCTTACTTAATATATCTTTTTTATGCAGTTTGTTTTCCTCTCTCCCCCCCCCCCAACATACCAGTTAAAAAAACTACAATGCTCTGAATAACTTGGAAATATCCCACGTTGTAAAGTAAAAACTTATTTGTACTCTTAGGTATAAAAACTATACCTCAAAAGTTTTGACACTGCTTATATTATATTGATTATGTAAATATCCCACTCTTAATTGTGTTATTTATGAACACTAAATTAGTTATACGCTGATAAACATTCCTATTTAACATTTCAAAATTTCCTATAATTCCACTGTGTTATCCATTATTTTTGTATTATGGGATTGGAATTTTACTAAACCATTCATTTGTATATATACTCTCATCACCTCCTACTCTCCAGCTCTATGAACTAGATGGCCTAAGGTCAATATATTGAAAAGTGGCTAGTGATTTTGAAATGCCCTAAAGGGACCAGCTGTATAAAAGGTGGTACTCAGCACTTTCTGAAAAGCAGACCTTTAAGATGTTACAAAAGTTGGGTACCCAAAAACTGACACATCCAAAATCACTACTCACTTCTGAAAATCTTGACCAAATTCGTCCTAATCTCGCCTTCCACATAAATTCTCTAGACCACTTAGCATCCTATTTGCCCTTTTCTTCAACTTTTCAAATTCAATATGCCAATGTAAAGGTGATAACCAGAACCGATTTAAAATACTTATGGTTACATTTTCTGTCCCCCTTTAATGCACTCTAGCATACTATCTACCATATTAGGGCATGGCTACACTTGCAGATGTAGAGCACTTTGAGTTAAACCAGGCTTTGGAGAGTGCAGTAGGGAAAGCACTGCAATCTGTCCACACTGACAGCTTCAAGCGCACTGGCATAACCGCATTTGCAGCACTTGCAGCAGCATTGGGAGCGGTGCATTGTGGGCAGCTATCCCAGCATACAAGTGACTGCAACGTGCTTTTCAAATGGGGGCTGGGATGGGGTGGAGTTTGACAGGGTGTGTATTGTGTGTATGTGCGGGGAGAAAGAGTGGGTTTTTGAGGGGCTGAGAGCATGTCAGCATGCTGTCTTGTAAGTTCAGAGAGCAGCAGACTCCCAGCCTCTCTCTCTCTCTCTCTCACACACACACACACAGCATTCCACAGTAATGGTTGCTTTGTCTCGGAGCAGATAAGCAGCCAGCTGTCAGAAACGGAGCTTTCGAAGGGCATATCCGCATTCCTGCAGCGATTCAAAAACAATGACAAGAGTGGCCACTTGACTTACGGGGATTATGGGACGTTTCCGGAGGCTGATCAGAGCGCAGTAATGCAACACCTCGTTCACACTGGCGCCGCGGAGCTCCAGCGGGGGCGCAGCAAACGCTATTCCACTCGCCGAGGTGGAGTACCAGCAGCGCCGTAGCCGCGGAGTCAGAGCGCTCTACGTGCCTTGCCAGTGTAGACAGGTAGTGAGCTAGTGCGCCCGGGGCTCCTTTCTTGCACTGTAACTCGCAAGTGTAGCCAAGCCCTCAGCCTTTGTGATGGCTACTGCACACTTTGCCAATCTTTGCTAAATATCTATGACTCTCAGATCATAGTATCTGAGGGATACTATCTAATTTTAATCCATGTGGTATGTATGAAAAATGTATCTAAACCTGTTTTATAGATGTGTGTTGCTTTGCACTTACCACTAACATTTCAGCTGTGCCATTATTTCTCCCATATCTCCATTCACCTCATTAACTAGCATACCTTTCAATATTGCTTTTGATTAGAGAGTTTACGTGGATCATTTTCTGATTCATTGACTCTGGTAGTATTTTTTTTTTCTGAAGACATATGGATTTCTTTTAGAAATCATTCCTGCTACATTTCATTTTGGTCTCAAATTCATTATACACTTTATAATTATGAATACTCTTTCCTGTGAGGTAGTGAGTATAGTGGTCAGAGCAGTGGACAGCATAAGAATTCCTGGCTTCTCTTCCTGATTGCTATTATATTGTTGTGTGACTCTGAGCAAGTAATTTAACTTTGCTGTGTTAATTTCTCAATACATCAGACTTGTAGTAAAGTTTAATTGATTCTAGCTTTTGCAAAGCACTAATATCTTTAAAGTTCTGAGTATTATAATCATTTCTCAGTGTTAATTTCCTCCACTATCTTGTCCAACCACAAAGACTGACAAGATCCATTTGGAGTTTCTCAGTCCTCCTTTGTTCATTTCATGCCCTTAGTTGATTGGTGCCTTTAAATTCAGCTACTTGAGACAAAATAATCCTGCCATTTATGATGTTCCCTAACACTGTGTTGTCTTTGAAGGTATCTATCTCTAGATTTAGCAAAAAAATTTCCTGGCAAAATTCCTGAATCTAAGGTGTGAATATAGAAAGAATTATCAGCTTGCAATAATGAGCAAATTTTAATTCAATAATAAATTGCCAGATTAAAAAAAAATCAGAAAAATTTTGACCACCTTCAAAACTTCGATTCTTTTGTAGCTTTTATATTGCCAAATTACCAGAGCCTGCAGCTTCAATGTTTAAATAAAAAACTTGGCCCTTTTTGAAAGTAAGAGTCTCTAGGGATAGATCAATTTTTAGGGATATACTAATGTTAGAATGCTCACATGAGCCAGTGATCAGAATCCCTTTGGTATTTGAATTCTTCAGTATTTGAAAGACCATGAACCAAAAGGGGAAGTCACCAAAATATGGAAATACCCAAAACCTCTGATAAAAGCATACATTGCTACAGTTTGCAGGCATCTGAATTTAAAGGAGAATCGTGAAAGTATTTGAGTCTAGATGCCATTGGACAGACACTTTGTCAGCACTCCAAACATTTTTTTTTTTTTTAAGTGAATAGAAAGTGTCTGTATGAACATTCCATTCCCTTGATGCACGTCTCATTAACTATCTAATCGTTACATTGAACTTCTCCGAAAGAACTACATTGGAAAGTGCTTTCTATCCAATGCGAATATCTGCTATTTTTAGAGGCATTTGTAAAGATAAAACAATAGTATTCTAAGCCCAGGTTTATTTTATGTACGAAATCCTATAGAAGTCTGTTATATGTACATTCTCGAGCACAAGTTTACAACTACCAAAGGGAGACAGGTTCAATGGAATCAAAGTAACTGGAAGAAATACTTTTCAGGAAACAAGAACGATAACAAGACTTCCATGTTATCTCATCCTAATTGTGGACTTTAATGGGGAGTGAAGAGAGTGTATGAGTGCAAGAGAAAGTTCTACAGAGACTAAAAGACCAAGTATATCGATCTATTCATATTCTCAAAACTATAAGAGAATCCTGTTACTTATGAATAGGGCCCTTCCAAATTCATCAAATTCAATTTTGGTCAATGTCACAGTCAAAGACTTTTAAAAGCTATCAGATCCATGCTTTCAACTATTTACATCTGAAATTTCATGGTGTTATAACCATGGGGGTCCTGACTCAAAAGGGGGTGTGTGGGAGGTTGCGAGGCTATTGTAGTGAGGTTGCAGTATTGCCATCCTTACTTCTGCGCTACTGCCAACAGAGGCACTGCCTTCAGAGCTGGGCAGCCGGAGAGCAGTGGAGACATGAGGGTTGTATGGTATGGGGGAACCAGGAGGCTGGGAACCGTGCCCCCTACTTTTTAATATGGATGTAGCTTGGGAGATGGGGGGGTATTGCCCCCCCAAACTGCAAGCCTCAGGATCTGCTCCCCCACCACAAAGCACAGCCCCTGCCGGCGCAACTCCGCATCTGCCCGAGACTTGCAGTTTGGGGGAGGGGCAATGCCAGCCCTGCCCTCCCAAAACTATACTAATTGGAAAAGGGTTTGAAGGAGAGTATCCCTTCTTGAAGCTGAGAAAGTAGGGTTTGGGGCTCTGGGCTCCTACGTCCCGTCAGAGGGGAACCAACCACACTCCTTTTCCTGGTCTCCGGTTAAGAGAGCTGAGGAAGAGGGTTTGGGGCTTCTCTGTCTGGATCAGCAAAGAGCTGACCCCCTACTCCCCACACTGTACAATTTGTTGCTGGACACACCCAGATATTATAAGTGAACAAATCTGTGATCAAATTAAACCACATCGATGGTGTCCTGACTTTCTCCCAGTGTGGACAGACAAATGAGAGATATTGATTTGCAGAGAAGTCATAGATAGGATTCTGGTTTTCTTTGAAGTGAGAGGTTCTCTGCCAAGAACCTATATTTTAAATGGACCTGCTAGCAAAGAAGTGAGTGGTTTAACTTTTTTGCAAATTGACTTAGTTTCTGGAATAAGAAAATTTTTACCATTAGTATTATTATTTTAAACAGCCAGGTTTATAGACAAAAAGTAATTCTGACAGATCTAGCTTTCTTTAGGAATTCTATACAGAGCCCAATAGGAATTACAGAGAACTGTAAGATTCTTCCAGTCACTTAATTGTGCATCAGTTCACACTTCCATCATTCCGTCTGACTAGACATTACCATAACCAAATACAGTATGTGTAATATGTATCTTATTCTTTCCAACGGTTTTTGAAGTGTAACTGTAATTGAGGTTATTTCTGTAGTACACATACACTGATTTCAGTTTAAAATTAGCTGATTTGTTTACAAGACAACATTCTGATGAATATTTACATAGCTAATCAAATCATCAAGAACATAAAGGTGCTCCACTGTAGTTTGTTTTGAATCATTTTATAAAAATAACATATATAGAACTCCTTACCAGGTTTTTCAGCAGCGTTGATAGTTCCTTAGTAAGTGTTGAAAATTTAACAAAAGCAGTGCCAAGATCTGGATTATCCCGACTTAAAAAATTACTTCCAAATTTATCTAATACTTGTGCATAGTTCTCTTCATTCTGAACATGATCTGAAAAGAGAGGTTCAAAATTAGCAAGTTTCTTTCCTATAACTATCTATTTTAAATCTATACTTTACTGCAGAGTATTAATGAAACCAAACTAGTGAATTTACAAATTAGTACCACGGTGTCAAGAAAAATAAATTACTGCATTTACTGAAAATTGGTTATTTTAAAATTAAAAAGGACTATTTAACATATAGCTGGAAGTTATTTTTATGTCACCATCTAAATTTAAGGTCACATGTAATGACAATCAATGAAATACAAAATTTATCAATGATTAATAAAGTAATACAACTGAGAAAAGTATGATAAAGAGCTATTTAAATGGGAACATTAGCTTGTTTTTCAGAAAGTATAAATATCTTCTTTTTTTGTGTGATGTATTGAAATTTACTTGGGAATAAAAATCAAAATGAAGTTAGCGCTACTATTATTAATAGGAGCATGTTTAATTACAAAACAAACCATGAAGTCAATAGTATTAGAGGTATAAATATGGGATATATTTGACCCCCATTCTGTAGATTAAGCAGGAGAAATGGCCCTCATGTTTTGTATTATTCATAATAGAATGTTAGAATTTATTTTTCTAATTGTAGAGATAAGATCTCAATGGAAAAGAAAATATATTACTACTTGGCCATAAGGAATGTTATATTTTAATTTTGAAACACTAATTGCAAATCAAGGATATCAAGATGCTTAGGCAATTTTGAAATGACTATGTTTTGATGTCAGAACCAAACAATGAAGCTAATCTAGAGTTAAAGCAAATTATCACTAAAATCCTAAAGAGGAAGGAGATTCTGAATTAAGAACCATCACTGTGTATTAACACATTTTCTATTTTTTCTCTCTTCCTCCTTCCTCTTTTTCTGGCATCTCTCTGCTCTTTTTTCTGCTTGTTTGCGTCTCCCATTTGAGTACCACTGTAGAGGAAAAACTCTCACTATGTGCCCTTTAGGGATGCCAGCCTTCCAACTACTCAGACAACACAAACTACTATACCAAACATGAACAAGTAATAGTGCTGAGAAGGGATACCTTGGTATACCAGTGCATGCAGAAGGGCAGGTTAAGGGAGAGAGTTAAGACTGAAGTCTATGGTTTGTGATGTATGCTAGGATAGTGTGTGCCTGTGGGTGGAGAAGTAGACGGTATGTACTGTAAGATAACTTAAATTTTAATTTCCTTGATTTTGTGGGTTTGAGTCAGGTTGTGATGAGTGTTTTGAGCCTGAGTCTGATGAGTCATTTAAGATAATTACCTGTGAGTCCTAAGGGCCCAGCCCTTTCATTTGCATTTCAATACAATCCACAAGCAAGGGTCTAGCCAGGTGACTCCAATGCAGGTATACAGGCCCCTAATGAAAGCAGCAACTCCAGTATGCTCAACATCATTACCTTGTTGGGGATACTCTACCTGCTATTTCCGACAGACTACTCCTGCTCGCCTCTGCCCATTCCAGCTTGCTCCTGCCTCAGTTCCTGTTCCAGCCACAACTGATGGCCTGATTATCCTGATACACATATGGTATGTGCAGCAATCTTAACTGTTTCCCAACAATGTTTTCTAAATTAACGTATACAATCTCATACCCCTTAAACTATTCCTGCTGTGAGAAAGTTTAAATGATTTGCTTGGAGCAGTTCGGGAGAAGATCTTTAGTCAGCTATTATTCAATTCTATATTCTTTTATTGCCCTCATCAACAAAACAGCTGAGCACCTTCAGGAATGCATAAAGCAAGGTGACTAACATCTTACCATTAACTTGGGTTTGAACAGAGACTGGGAGTGGCTGGGTCATTACACATATTGAATCTATTCCCCCCCCCCCATGTTAAGTATCCTCACACCTTCTTGTCAACTGTCTAAATGGACCATCTTGTTTATCACTACAAAAGTTTTTTTCTCCTGCTGATAACAGCTCATCTTAATTAATTAGCCTCTTACAGTTTGTATGGCAACTTCCACCTTCTCTGTATGTGTATATATACACATATATCTATATGTATGTATGTATATGTATCTATCCATTCTATGGATCCAATTCTATGTAGTCCAAGAAAGCTTATGCTCTAATAAATTTGTTAGTCGCTAAGATGCCACAAGTACTCCTGTTCTTTTTGTGACATGTGGTTCATTCTCTCTCATCCTGTCTAGAGGGGGAGAATTGTATGCGCTGTGGAGAGAGTTGTTTTGGAAGACTGTTTTATCTTTCTCATGCTTTTTAAAAAAATGTTGCTTTTTTAAAATATATTGCTGTGTGTTTATGTTTCAAAGAGCACGGTAAAAGAAGTGCACTGTGCACTTAAAGCAGAAGGTGGCAAGGTATCTGATGGCCCTCTGTTCTGGTGAAAGTTTATTTCACAGTCTGGGACTAGCCATGAGAAATCTCTGTCTCCTGCACAGAGCTTTAGGTGATCTTTTACATATCCCGGGCTCAGGGCACTAAGTGGTTTTTAAACACAAATAGAGACTTTGAAGGATAGGTTAACATGTGCTCACAGTAGTTTGTCTTGCTAAGTAAGTGTACTGTAGCATTTTGTACTAGCAGGAGTTCTAAGGGCCAAAGGTTTCACTCCTAGGTATAATGCATTGCAGTAATCCAGATGAGAAGGGCAAAAACATATATAACCAAGGCTGGGTCATTGTCAGACAGGATGGGTGGGATGTAGTTTCCTGGATAACCAGAAGCACTACTTGTGGATGCTGCAAGGAGAGAGCTTACCATCAAAGAGAAATCTAAAAGCACTCAAGAACTACAGATTGAGCTGACCAATTATGGGTGTTTATCTTCAATCAAAGGAGCCTGTACCATGACTGAAGACTCCTCGAAGTCCCTTCCTCTTCCCACCAGCATAAACTTCATCCTTCTCAGTTTCAGCCAGGTCTTCTTCATCCATGAATGGATCTCATCCAAGCACTGAGCCATCTTGCTAGTAGTGGCACAGTCACAGATGGTAAAGGATAATTAGAGCCTATCATCTGAATATTGCTACCACTTGAGTCCGTGTCATTTTACCAGTTAATCTAGTGGCTGCATGCAGATGTTGAACAGGACCAGAAGAAAACCTGATCCTTTTGGGATTCTACAAGTGAGAGGTCTAGAGACAAAGGTGCAGTCTCCTATTTCTACTCTTCGGGCATGAAAGGACTTAAAACTATTTTAGAGCCTTCTCCCGACTCCTTTCTCAGACAAGACAATATCTCCAAAGTTCAAGGGAAGGATGAGAACAGATGTCTACCCTCCATCCACTGAAAGCAGGAGATCATCCATCAGTGCCATCAAAGATGTTTTCATCCCATAGCCTGACCTGAATTCAAATTATGCTGGGACTAGGATATTGCCTTTAATCAGAAGAGCTTGTAGTTAGTCCTGGGCTAGCTTCTCTATGAGCTTGCTCAGGAACAGAAGATTTTTTTATTGGGCACCAGTTGGAACAGATGTATCCAGGGTGGGTTTCTTCAGTGTTGGTCAGACTACTGCACTCTGGAAAAAAATGGAAGGGAAGATTACTTCCCTAAATGAGGAAATGGCTGTTTCAGTTAGGAGTGGCACCAGCTGCTTATGACTCTCTTTCATCAGCCAGGAAGGGCATGATTCACAAGACTTGGGTTGAGATTCTTTAGAAGTATCCAATACTTCTTGAGAAGCAAATGTATTTAAACTCTGAGAATACAGCTACACTAACTTGTTGTGTGTGGGGGGTTTCTGTTTTTGTTTTTAAAGAATGCAGAATCTTTAAGAGTCCAGTCTTGTAAGTCTAATGTTCTCCTTCCAACAGTGTTTAATATTTTCCTCATTTGCAATTGTGGTAATGACACGTTACTAAGCTCCTCTTCTGTCTTTTTGTATTACTTACTCCTGAGTGAATTCTGTGACAAAAAATTAAAATTCTGTGCATAATATTATAAAATTCTGCAAAATTCTACAAATTCTGCTCATTGGGAGGTTCAAGGTGCAGGGATAATGGGCCTCTGCAGGAGGATCCAGGTAAAGGTGGTTGGGGCTCAGCGGTGGCTTCGGGTGCTGGGGGACTGGGTCTTTGTGGGGGTGCAGGGAGCTCATCAGGGTGGTCCAGGTGCGGGAGATGGTGGGGCTTGTTGGGGTGGGGGTTCAAGTGCGGGGGGTGGTTTGGGTACATGGAGGCTCCAGCTATGGGGGTTCGGGGGATGTCCGTACAGTAACCCCTCCCCACATGGCTGAGGAGCAATGGAGGCAGGAAGCGGGGTGGGGGGGGAGGGAGAAGGGCTGTGCAGAGCTTCCTGCAGCCAGGTGAGCTTTCTGGAGTGGGTTTGACCCAGCCCCAGCTGCTCCTTGCAGGGGAAGAAGAAGTCCCATCCTCCCCAGACTAGCCAGAACTAGAAGCAGAGCCCAACGTATGATAGGAGCCACTGGCCAGGGAGTTCCCTGCTCCCCACCACGGTGATTTACCATTCTGCCAGCTGTTCCAGATGCCCAAAACAGCGCATCCGCGCTGCTGGTGGGGACGCGTGACTGCTCTGTCGGCTTCCCTTTGCTAACCTGTCAGAAGTCATTTTTCTGCGGGGAAGCAAAGAAATCCGTGGGGGACGTGATACTGGCATGCGCGCAGTGGTGCAGAATTCCCTCAGGAGTAATTACTTTAAGCCTCCAATACTGGTTTGTTCAACATTTCTTTATTAGATTCCCATCCTTATGGCTTTAAAAAAAACCCCACACATTACAGACACACCTCCCAAAATTAATTTTCCTTAGTGGGAGAGAGAGGGCTATAAATGTCAACAGGAATTATGTTTATTTCAGGTAGTAGTATGAGTATCATTCTCTCCAAGTTGTAAATTTTGTCTGACAGTATTTGAATTACAAAAAATAAAAAAATTACCATTTAATTTCAGATATAAATTTGAAATCTTTGGGTGCTGCAAAATACTATTTTTCTGTTGACTTCCACACTTTACTTTTAAAACCATGAATTTCACCACAATCCATGTGCATTATCCCATGATGCATGAATCA